TATTAGTCGTTGAAACAAAAAAAAATATGACAACAATGCATGTAGACTATTGAACACTGCATTTATTTTCGAAAATGCCTTGTCATAATTTTTTGTTTCACCGACTAATATATAATTTGAAAAACACACGTGGATTTACAATTTCATTACACAATGGTGCGCATTAAGAGGGCATTACACCAGAAAAATCTGGTTGTACGGCTGGAAATAATTATTAACATAATGAGTGGACGGATCTGTTTGGAAAATCAAAGTGTAAAAACCATTGACGTGGCCCTACTTGACTTTTTAACTATTCTGTTTTATTGTTGATAATAAACGATTATTATATTGTATTGAATTGTAAGTGCATTGGCTAAGGTAAATCATAGTAATTCTTTTATTATAAATGTACAATGGTATATGTGGCAATACATAAAAATGTATTTTTTCTCTTGTTGGGATATCATATAGAGTTATCTTCACTGGAGTTGAGTCTTGTCTTCGGCCCATACCCATCAGTATCAGTAGTAGTGTTATCGGACTACTATTACTATAATTTTTTTTTTCTGTATTTGTCGTACTACTCATCTTATGTCTTGCCCAATCGATCAGTTTGCCGATGCCAGCGTCCTGTCGTGCACTGTTGGTCGGCCTTGGACGTTACTGGTTTCCAAAAATACATTGATAATTGTGTATGTTGGTGCAAAAATAATGGCTTGCATCTAATCTCTTCTAAGTATAAAATTATTCTTTTATCTGGGGGCTCCTGAGCAGACATTTCTCCCCTCATCTACACCCCATTTCAAATACCCAGATCCCACTTGTTCCAAAAGCAAAACGCATTGGAGCCACAATCCCAACGTTTAAATCTCATAATAAAAATGTGTGCTCGAGAGCCTCTAAATGCTTAAATTTTGTCTCAAGAGTTTTTGTTGGCACTAGAGGTAACTATTTCATTTTCTTATACGAGTCTTGGTTTCGCCCATACTTGAATATTGTCGTTCTATAGGGGACCCTCAAGAGAGTACTTATACTCGTAAACTGGAACTTATGCGAAAAGCTGCTACTAGCATTGCCTTTATTCTGGGTGGGGGAGGTATAAAGATAGACCAAACTACATCGATCGGCTAAATGTGTGCCATCTTTATCCTCTTGTTTTTAAAAAGATTTCCGGAGCCTTGTTTTCGATTCCGGTTTTTTATTTTAAGAGTGGGGGATTTTCTGTTGGCATGACAACTCCTTTATTAACCCCGTGATTAATTATCCTAAATTATATGAGTGCCCGTTCGAACAACCTCTTTATTTAGATTCTGTTATGTTAAGCAGCAGGGCCCAAGAACTCTCTTCGTGACAGCCTGAGCAGCTTAAATATGAAGATACAAAATCTTTTAAAAAATTAATAACAGCCTGCTTTAACGACTAAAACGATGTAAGATGAACTTTTTTTCCTTTTTTTTTGACAGTGATATTTAATGGTGTACATATTTTTGATATTTTATATTGTATTACATAGTATGTTAAGTGTCGGACCCTCGGCCCATGATTTCTTTTTAGACCGTTATGTTGAATCTGTAATAAATAAATTTCATGTGGTTTCTGAAGAAGAGCGCAAGCTCAAATAAAGTGACTGTGTTTTGTTACATTCAAGCCTTTGAATATTTCTTCCTTTAGGTATATAAATATAATTTATTCGGAATAAACAATAATAATACACGCCAAAGTTAAAGGTCTGTGGACCAAGAACAGATTAATTAAACTAAATGAATAGTCTGATACTAGTAATCTTAGTTTTTACTTAAACTGGTGATAGCTAGTTCAAAGTATCCATTTTAATTTTTCTTTACGTATGTTGACAAAGATGCAAAGTTGTTATCGATCGAGGTCAAGGGAGATTGAAATGACATATGGAAAAAAACAGTGGATTTGTCTCTGATGGATTTTGTTATTATGAACTGGAGGCAAAATTGAGTACAGGTTTCTCTTATAATAGATATACAAAGTACCCATTGTTCGTACCAAAAGGACTATTCTTCGTATCTTTATATAAGCCAAGAACATATGAATAAAAGCTTACGTATACAACATCAGTGTGAACTTTGCGACGTTTATTTTATTTATTCGTTTTTGCTTATTTTCAATCTTTCGATAAAAAAAGAATGAACAGGGGTGCCGAGGAAAAGCAAAAGTGAAAAAATAAATTAACTGAATAACCAAAACCTTGCTAACAAAGACAACGCAACAAAAAAACCGTTTAAATAAGAATAAAAGGGAACAAATTTAACTAAATAAAACCTGCATGGATCGTCATACAAGGAAAATTAAACCAATCTCTGAGCAATAAATTGGGAAAAAATAAATACATAACAAATATATAATTGTTATAATCGTGTACATTCTTCAAAAATAAAATTTAAAAATTCTTTAATAAAAATGATATACTTATATTATTGTAAATTAAAATTATTATATTATAAATATTTATGTACAATTGTCATTTACGAAAATGTAGTATTCACAAATCTTCATTATAATATCAATTGTAATGTACAATCATGAGAATAAATGGTAAAACATATGTACAATCATCAAATAGAATAGCAATACAAAATATAGTCGTCATTACATAGCAAAACGAGGGAATATTTGATCGTAAATATAAAAACAGAATAAATAGCCTACATTAATACAATAAAAGTAAAATAAAGAAAAGTAACTATATATAACTATAATATCAAAACTATTCTTGAGATGGATTTCAAAGCTGTATCTGGTGACTGGGTCCTTCAATCTCTGGGTTTTGAGAGAATTTCTTGCTTATGTTTGACGTTCTACGTAATTTTAATTTAAAATGGCTTGACAGTATATGATGGTCACCTCGAGCATTAGCACCTCTTTTCGCCTTGACATCTTGAGTCTTCTATTTTCAATTATTGTGATGTGGTCAATCTGATTCTTTGTTTTCCGAGTTTAAAAAAAACATGTTTATTTATGCATGATATGTCTTTATATTTTGAAATAGATCCTCCAATGATGAAATCGTTTTCCATACAGATATCGAAATTTCTCTCCATTGTCGTTCATCAGTTTGCCAAGACCTTAATTTCCTATCACCTTTTTTCTTCCTTTGTTATTACCCTGGCCTCTCCGAAAGAGAGGTGACACCCTCGCCTCCTAGAAGAAAAAGTGATTACATTCGCCTCTCTCTTCCTTTTCTATCACCCTCTTTCTTCTGAGTCCCTTGCCTCTCCGAAAGAGCTCTTAGAAGAAAAGGTGATTACCCTCGCCTCTTTGAGAAGGAGAGATGATTACCCTCGCCTCTCGAAAAGAAAGACGTGTGTGTGGGTGTGTGTGTGTGTGTGTAGGTGTGGGTGTGTGTTGGGGTGTGTGTGGATGTGTGGATGTGTGTGTTTATGTGGCGTTTGTACTTCCGCTCGCATAATTCAGGGGCGGATCCAGCCAGAGGGGGCGTGAATGTGAGAAATGAGTTGGTGCTGATCGGAAATAATATGCAGATTTTAGAATGTTATACTAAAATTACTCTGTAATTGTTAACTACACTATATTGAAACATTAAACAAATATGTGCAAGACTTCTCAATTTTGCTACCATTTTTATGTATAAAATAGGCCTACCAATGATAATGATAATGGCGACAATGTTGTTGTTTACGGTGAGGATGAGTATTGAAAAATTATGATAATTTGATAATGATATAATGACATTATTATATAATTACATAATGTGACAGGGCAGTTAACCTTTGATATGATATTTACCTATGTTTCACTTTAAAAATTAAACACTGTAAATAATTTAAGACATGTACAAAACAAGTAGTGACTTCCACTAGCGTTAAATAGTTTGTTGTTGGTCCAACATTATAAACAATTTGTGTGCAGTGATTGAGTGCGTAGAGGGGTGTGTATATTAAACGAGTCCTCTCACGTCCTATTTAGTGCGTGTTTCGTGATTAATATTTATCGAAGATGTCCAAACATGACACAATATTGGAAAAACCTGGAAAAGATTAAATAAAGCAGTAATTAGCCCATTAAAATTGTAGACATATTATAAATAATAATTAACATTTAGTGCTTAATTAAGGAGTCATGATTATAGCCCCCAGTTTAAATTATTTTTTTTCAAGAAAGCAATTAAAAAGTATAAACAATTTATTTTGTTTGCTAGATTATATGTGTATTAATACATCGTGTCAAAATGGAGGATATTGTGTTGATGATATCAACAACTCTACCTGCATGTGTGTTAACGGATATATCGGAACATATTGTGAAATCGGTAGGACCATATTTTACTACTGTGTACACAATATTATTCAAACAATATTTAGGATACTCTGTTATGTTTAGACTGAGTATAATTCTTCACTGTAATATTCAGTTTATGTAGGTAAGATCTCACTCCTAGACTAAGAACAAGAAAAATTAAACAACTGACATTATCATTAGACTACTACAGTATGAACAAATTGTGTATCGAACCATTGTGAAAGTTGGGTATCAATTTCGGCCGGAAATTGTTTTACTTTGTTTAGCCGGTCTCTCGATGTAATAGGTAAATAATAACTTATTTATATTACACTTAAAAAATAAGGTGTATATCATTAAAATTATAATGTACTCTTTCTCTTGCAGATAAAGAGGTACCGGTCATAACCTTTTGCCCACCAGATATAAAGTTGTTGACCGGAATGACAACAAACACTGCTGCTGCCGCTTGGACTCCCGCCACCGCTGAAGATAACTCAGGTGTTCCTCCAAATATCGCAACAGATATTCAGCAACAAGACTTGTTGATGATTGGAAATTACCTTGTGTCAGTTACTGCGACAGATGGTTCAGGAAATACCAACACATCATATTCCTTCAATATAAACGTTATAGGTAATTTATCAAATTTAGTATTTTTTAAATGCATTAGAAATTCTCCATCTGTTTATGGTCATACGTTATCGTTTGAGGATACACATCTATAAATGCTGGCTTAAATGATATGTATAACATTATACTGTATATTTCTTTTTAAAGCACTGTTACACTCCTCATCATCTGGCGGTTTAAACCTGCACGAAACTTAAACGAAACACTTATTAGGTGTTACTTCCTTGTGATTTTTCTTTCCCCAATCCGAGAAAGCATCGCGATCACATTTTAACTCCAGTGCATCATAAGACTATGTGTAATTGTAGATAATACAATCATCTGCAAAGAGTTCAAAGTGCAATTATGTGTTCTTTCAAAGGTCATTTATGGGAATTACGAAAAACATTAGGCCTGTCACATTTCCCAAGTGGAGTCCCAAGATCGGATTCAGTGATTCATAATAACCATTTCACGCTAGAATTTGTGGTTGTTCTGCCAATTGGACAACAATCGTTAGATGACAGGGGGCCAAGGAGTCCCCTCCTGGAAACTGATTGTTTTCTAGATTCTTGGAAATGCACTTTTCTGCAATCTGAGACTTCTATAAGTGGATACATTATCAATCTTTGTTTTTTCCTACATTGGAATGGCAAACTGATGACGATGATGATTTTGATGATGATGATGACGACGACGAAGAAGATGACGACAAAGAGGATAAAGATTATAAAGATAATGATGAGAACGACGATTATTATTATTATTATTATTATTATTATTATTATTATTATTATTATTATTATTATTCACACGTACTGTGTATTCAGTACATTTCCACGTCGGGTAGGGCAAAATTACACCTATAAATATTATTATTATTATTATTATTATTATTATTATTATTATTATTATTATTATTAATAATATTATTATTATCATCATCATCATCATCATCATTATTATTATTATCATTATTATTATTATATTATTATTATTATTATTATTACATTAATTTATCACTTATTTACTTTTAAAGGTAATAACGTTAATTCATTATCATCAGTGACTGATTACCAAATAGGAGTATACATTCTTTGTGTCTTCATTCTGTTGATGTCTCGATTATTTGTCTTCTTCTGCAGGTAGACTCTATTTTGTAATAATAAAATTCAATTAGTTACAATATGTTTTATCATGGAACAGTAAAATTCCCTGGTTTTATCAACTTAAATGATGAGTTTATGTTGCTAATATGTCGGCATCGGCAGTGCCTAAAAACAATATTCTTTTTTAAGAGTATTTTTGTTTAGAGTTTGTTATAGATGTGATATACAACCTATGGCAACATTATTGATTCACATCATAATTTGAAAAAAGGTATTTTTTAAACTATAGTAAAGAAAAGTAATGTAAGATAAATTTAGCATAGATAAACCTACATTATAAATAAATGTAACCAAAATTCTTTCAGAAAATAACATACAGCAAAAGGCTGTTGAATAAAAGACAATAGTATTTTCTCCCTCATTCTAAGCGTTTATGAAGACAAGATATGATCTCTGTAGAAGTTCTCTTTAATCATGATAATTATATGTAAAGTGAAACTTTAACTCGTTTTTTCGGGATACTAGCCTATATAAATACAAAGATACAATTTTGTAAACTTATGAACAGAAAAATATATGTAAAGACGCAGAACAAAGCTAACTATTGATACGAAATGATTTAGTTTTTCTTTAATTTAGGTCATATTTTGTTAATAGCAAAAAGACAGACCCAGTGGTTCCAGAAATGAATGATTATATGACAACAGTAAATGTATCAACTTGTCTGCCAACTTCTAGCAATAATGATGCTGCCCCGCAATCCATGAACTTACACAGGAGTGATAATTCCCCTCAAGTTTATGATGAAATTTCAAATGCTAACACATATGAAGTACCTCTGCCAACCAGTGGTATTGACGATGATGTTGCACCCCAATCTATGGAAACGCAGTTGGTGAATGATGTTGCTGTAGCACAATCTATGGAGAATGACAGGAGTGATAATACCCCTCAAGTTTATGATGAAATTTCAAATGCTAACACATATGAAGTACCTCTGCCAACCAGTGGTATTGACGATGATGTTGCACCCCAATATATGGAAACGCAGTTGGTGAATCATCATGTTGCTGCAACACAATCTATGGAGAATAACAGGAGTGATCATACCCCTCACATTTATGATGAAATTTCAAATGCTAACACATATGAGGTTCCTCTGTCAACCGGTGGTACTGACGATGATGTTGCACCCCAATATATGGAAACGCAGTTGGTGAATCATCATGTTGCTGCAACACAATCTATGGAGAATCACAGGAGTGATCATACCCCTCACGTTTATGATGTAATTTCAAATGCTAACACATATGAGGTTCCTCTGTCAACCGGTGGTACTGACGATGATGTTGCACCCCAATATATGGAAACGCAGTTGGTGAATCATCATGTTGCTGCAACACAATCTATGGAGAATCACAGGAGTGATCATACCCCTCACGTTTATGATGAAATTTCAAATGCTAACACATATGAGGTTCCTCTGTCAACCGGTGGTACTGACGATGATGTTGCACCCCAAAATATGGACACGCGGTTGGTAAATTATACTGCTGCAACAAAATCTATGGAGAATCACAGGAGTGACAATACCCCTCAAGTTTATGATGAAATTCAATATGCTAATACAGGATATCAAGTACCTCTGTCAACCGGTGGTACTGACGATGATGTTGCACCCCAAAATATGGAAACACAGTTGGTAAATGATACTGCTGCAACACAATCTATTGAGAATCACAGGAGTGATAATACCCCTCATGTCTATGATGAAATTCAATATGTTAATACAGGATATCAAGTACCTCTGTCAACCGGTAGTACTGACGACGATGTTGCATTCCAATCTATGGAAACACAGTTGGTGGATAATGTAGTGTTAAAACATCGTTACGGTAGATTACGGTTTGCTATGGTAAGCTTTACAAATTTTATTAAATTTAATGACCACCTTTGTTCATATTTGATAGCGTATTACATTAAAAAACATTAAAATCAATATAAGATACAATGCTATGTTAAAATAATGCGTGAAACAACTACATGGTAGATTAGTTTAAAAGTATATTAATTCTTTTTTTTTTATAGTTAAGCAAGCATTTATAAATTTGTAACGTAAGTTTTAAAGTAGTTAATGTATCTGAATATTTCATGTAGTTCCTGACGAAGAAGAGCGTTAGCTCAAATGAAATGACTGAATTTTTTACATCCAAGCCTTAGAATATTTCTTCCATTTGTAAATATATTGTATATCGTACCGTATTCCATGTGGGCCTCTGTGGTCTAATATTTCCATGTAATGTCAACGTATACGTTTCTACAATCGTACTTATTATTATATATATATATATATAAGTTATATATATATGTTTATATATAGGCCTATGTTTATATATATATAAAAATAATAATAATGATAATAATAATAATAATAATAATAATAATAATAATAATAATAATAATAATAATAATAATAATAATAATCATTACATTGTTCACGCTCAACTTAATATAACCAAACCATTAAATTATAAGAAGGTTTTATTCCGTAACTTTAAGAACATCGAAAATAGTGTTCTTACAACCTTATTTTCTGTAGCATTTTTTGGCTTCGGCAACAATGTCAACAACCAAGATGTTAATTATATGGTATCTGCATATAACAGAACCCTTAATTCAATTCAAAATGAAGTTGCACCTGAGAAAATGAAAGTTGCTACCATGAGACAAATGTCTCGATGGTACAACGATAATTGTATTGAAAAAAGAAAGTGTCGCGTATTAGAGCGTAAATGGATCAAGTTTTGTGATTCTGTTGATAAAACAGCTTTCAAGAAGCAATGTGCAAAATATCACTCTGTTTTAACCAATACAAAAACTGCCTACTTTCAATCTCAAGTCGAGAAATGTGGAAGTGACCAACGGCTGTTGTTTTCTTTAATGAACAAACTTTGCGGTAAAAGTAAAGGAACTCTCTTACCGTCCACACCCTCTGATGTTGAATTAGCACAAGCATCATCTACACTGGTTACCAAGTGACAAGCGCATCACATTCAAGATTCTGCTCATTACGTACAAAGCCCTGCACAACAAGACACCTGAATACATTTCTCAACTCCTAACGTCACGTTTTGTAACTTGTAGTTGGTCTATGAGATCAACGACCAATAGATTCATACTATCCGTTCCAGCATCGCGACTCAAAACTTGTGGTGATAGGACTTTTTCTGTCGCTGCACCAAGACTTTGGAACAGCCTACCAGCCTCTATCCGTGAATCAACTCCCGTTCATACATTTAAGAAGAAACTTAAAACCCACCTTTTTTAAGTTTTTCTTTTTACAATTTTTGTAGTTTAAGAGTATTTAAGTGTTTTGTTTTTTGTTCATTAAAGTCGCAACTCCCTTTACTTGAGCCGGCGTCGCCATCTTAGCAGTGCACGGTAGTAGAGCCGAGGCTTATCCAAGGTGGAAGCTACTGGAGCCCAGCATACTGTCGCCGGAGTACCTGCGTGTACGTGGTAGTGGTGGTTGACGCCGTCTCAACAACAGGAGTGCGCATTTTTCATGTTGCTGCTTGGTTTTTTTCCATTCTTTGGTCTGCCTGTTTTTGAAGGCTTAATTTATCAATTATTTATTTTTTTATTTTTTCTATTTGTTTATTTATTTACTTTATTCATTTATTTATATTTATTTAACTTATAATAATTAAAATTAAAAAAAACATTCTGATTAATATAGGCTCTTTAATATAAGATATAATATAATTTAATTTTTTTTTAAATTCTTGGTCCTACATTTTTTCGCCTTGAGACAATTTTATTGTGGAAGGCGCACTACAAATATCCCACCATTACCATTACCATTACCATAGCAACAACACAGTTCTCATTGAGCTATTGCGATGACATTTTCTACGGTTGCTGGAAATAGGTTGCGGAACAGAAATTTTCTATAAGTGGATAGCCCCGGTGGATAAAGTGATACCCGTCGGGAACATTGTATTACACAATGTTATGCCTCAAGAGGGCGTTTGGCCAGATAAATCTGGAAATACAGCTAGAAATACTGCCGTAGGCCTATATTATATATGATATTGAAGAAGGTTAGCCCTTAACACTGTCGAATAAATATAATATAAATCATCAAAGGTACATATACAGCGTTTAATAAGGACATGATGGAACATCGTAGGCTACCCTGTAGCTTTTGAACGAATAAAGTCCCAAGAAAAATCATTGTGTATTAAAATTCCTCCGACGCGATTCGAAGCTGCGACCTCTCGCTGACAAGTAAGAGTAGTATTC